TGCGTTGTTTCATGCTTTGAAATGATTGAATGTATTTGGGGGAGTTGGGTTGGGTGGGGAGGGGGTTTGGATGCGGGAGTTCTGGTTATTCCTTGTGAACGCTGAAAAGCGGAAAATAAAATTTTCTGTTCATTCATTCACAAAAAGTATATTTCTATTTCCTCGGTCAGCATTGTCACTTGTTTGACGTTTAAATAATTCAACACGCTAATCAGAAGAAATAAACAGCATTCAATAAGGAATCCTGCAGAAAATGACACTACAGGGTATGCTTTGAAGCCAGGAAAATCGTCCCGAGGATTATGAGGAAGCCATTATCACATTGTGAGAATCAGTTGTTGAGCCTTTGGATAGGTATATCCATAATACATCACATATCTACCTTCCTTTATACCTGAAATGTGGAGTGATTAAACGTCAATGAGCAAGATTCATTAGTGCAACAATGGATTTCACGGGAAATGATTTATTATTTCATTCCGAATAAATTAGACAGTCTCAATTTTTTTTCTGAAACACCACACAAGAAAGCAAAGAAGCAGTTCACGCTCTAAATGCCTGTTCCCCATAATTATAGGGATGGTATATTGCTTCCCAATCAGCATTGTTCTCTGATCAGGTTGGGCGGAAAAACATGCAGATGCATGAGCAAATGTCAAATGTATAGGCAGGATATGGCGATGGGAGATGCAATAGTGGAAAGCTTCTTCCCCTTTTCCTTGCTTTGCTGCTTGCTCCTTCCTCTATAAATGAAAGAAAATGACAGTTGAATCATTATAATTCAAACCTCCTAAAAGAATTTTCTGCAAAGTCCAAGTCCATTTTTAACGCTCAGGCAGCAGGATTTGTTTTCACAATTTTGTGATACAGGTGAAATAAATAAAAAAGAGAAACCTAGCATGCTCAGGACAGCCGAAGTCTGAGAAAATCCAATTTTTTTCAAATCTGCAGACAAATTTGCATAAAGAACATTATTTTCTGCTGGGTGACATTTTCTGCATTGCTGCCATAGGATTACCATCAAGGGATTTTGTAAACAATGGGTTTCACAACCATTTCACAACCTTTTCCAGATTTTTCCAGACTTTGGTTACTCAGCCAAATCTGCATATTGGTGATGCTTCCAGTCAAACCAAAATGCACAAAAGTGCAACAATTTCCCAGCACTGCTGCACAATGAAAATTGACGTGCCACTACCCAAGTGTTCAAATCTTCCTGACTTGAAGTGCTTCATGGCCTTTTGTATATTATTGTATCGACACAAGCAAGTGAAAAGCAATAATAATGCAACTTGATGTGTTTTCAAAGGAAGACAAGAAGGAAGTGGGCACATGAATCCATTTGTAAAAGTTCAGCATCCTGTCAAGCCATACAACCCATTTGCAGCAAAGGTGGGATATGTTACCAAAATTGTGTACCCATGAGCACTTGAATAAAAAACACACATCAATTGATAACCAATGCCAAAGTTGGAAAAAAGTCCTACGTATATTTCTTGGCTGGCAGAAAAGGTATGCTGAAAAAACTCTTGCTTGGTGGCAATTTTTCTGGCATTCTTAGCATAGGATTAACATTCAAGATTTCTGAAAGCATGTGGATTAACTCTACACAGATTTCTGATTTTCTAGAAAAAAAAATTTGACTATGAGCAATAGAAGAATTTCAAGTTTGGTGTGGGCCATGAGGGAGGCTGTTAACCCTTGGACG